ATGGCGACTTGAAAATGCAGAGAAGAAATAACACCCCGAAAATTCGTGCTTTGCGCCGTGCAACGCCAAGTTCTGAAGGTGAAGACTATTTAACTCTGTTGTTTGTATGTCTGTGTCCAGTTTGGTCCGAGATATAACGCATTAATTTGGCGTTATTTTGTAGAATACTGAGAGGAATATATTCTGGCCTCCGCGTGTCAGCCACGTCTTTGCAAATTTTACTAGGCATTTGACGTCTGTCTATTCTACTCTAACGAGTAGTAAGTTGAAGAAACGACCCCTGTTCCCAGAAAGTTTGGTAAAACATTCTCATGCCGCTGTAAAAACCGATGAAAAAATAATTATTAATGATAATTTGTGTTGCCGGGTTTGTCCACGTGTTTGTTCCGGGGAGCTAAATATTTCACTGCCACCCATACTATATACCACTATTTGTCGGATTAAACTAATTTTTATGGCTTTTTGCAGGTAAACATTCATAAACCATGTGCTGGTTTGGCACACCCTGTCAAATTTCCTAACACGTGGTTTGCGCCTGTGACTTTTAAGTTTTATATGATACTAGTAGTTAAGTGAAGTTGAAGTTACCTTGAATATTTTTTAGAAATATGTTTGTTTCCATGTGGTATCTTACATCAGATGTATTTTGATGAGATTGCCCTTTGGTCATGGTATTTTTGTTCACCACTCGGCGTAACACACCAGCTTCGCGGGCACGCGACATGGCGGCAGCTAGCAATATCACACCGAACGGCTTGTTACACTCAATCTTTGCACATTTGATTGCAGGCCGTTGTTAAAAGCTTTCTAGTGATGATGCCCCAACTGTGCTTGGTGGCAACGAGTTCCAGTCTACGATAGTTCTGGGGAAATACTAGCCGCGGCGACTGTTGCAGGGCTTCTCTTGCTTGCAGTCTTTTATATTATTTTTATTAGCCCTAACAACAGGCAGATGTGTAAAAGACTGCAAGCAAAGGAAGCCCTGCAACAGTCGCCGCGGCTAGGGAAATACAAGTTTTTGAATACCTCAATTCTTGGTTGATAACTCCGATATTTGAAGGCATGACTGTTGTAAAAATTGTGTATTGTAAAAACTAATTGTAATGCTGTCATGTATTGAAATAAACCATTAACCCTAGAGGTTAACAAAAAAATGCAAATTATGATGATTCATTATTTAAACAGATGTAACTTGACTTAATGGCACGTCTAAATGTAGATAGAATCATTTATTAATACGTTTTCTTAAGCATAAAATCAACTCTAAAACTAAAGACTTAAGAACTCTACTACATGTATAGAATAAAGTCTCTATTACTGAGAAATTAATACAAGTCACTTAAAGTTCATTCAGAAAAAAATTTATTTCTCAACAGTGCAAAATGCAGGGTGATCATTAAAGCCTTCTATATGTGATCAAGCTAGAAACAGTAGCATCAAGTGTACACATGTACTAAGGTGTCCTGCAATTATTTTGATGCATTGGTTACGCTTTATTTGGCCTCACATTATCTTCAATAAATGGTGTTTTTCCTCAAGGATTTAACTTTCCTATAATAGGAGCCTCGCAAACGAAGGGATGATGGTTGGAGCAGACGTCGTTGTTCCACTGTCCTTTCTTGCCCTTTGTGCTGAGAAACCAGCTACGTAGCTGGTTTCGGTTGTCCTGTTGAAAATGGTACAAATATTAAACACTACAGATATTTCATTTTTTGTAACTATCTATTTTCAATTATGGTGTTCGTTCAGACTTATTGCTTGCCTACGACATCAAAACATTTTTCATTACTTCCATAAAAAAATGGTGTAACATAATTTACACCTCATATACACCCTTTGAAGTTTGGTTTGACTGTGGCGTGGGTCCGCATGTAGGTCAACGTTATAATTTGATTATTTGTGGGCAGATTTTTTTTCAATTGTCGGTGAAATGGTTGCGGAGAATGTTGCATCTTCGTGAAATCGTAAAGATCCTGACTTTTTTTATTTCCCAATACGTAGTGTTGTAGCTTGGTTACGGCTTATCCTGTTAACGTTTGCAGAAAAAATTCAAATAGAGATACCTTGGAGAACAAGTTGGCACATTTCTCAATCCTGCCGAAAACGGTCCTGCTAATAGTGCTAGGTTCATGTGGAGCCCAGTTTTTGTAGGAAAGTCGAGAACCATCCGTCCACTTCCACTGCCCATCTAGAGTCAGTCCAAACCAGACGAGATCTAGACCGCTGTAACCTTTAGGGGCTGGAAGTTTAAAAAAGAAATAAATATAATAATAGTAATTATGTAAGTTGACAGTTCGTATAGGGTTCACATTTTTATATGGACGGCAGTCGTTGTCAGTATTTATGGTAAGTAATACTTCTGTCAGCTATTGAAACACGTGAAACTAGGGTCAACACAAAAGGAAGTACTCCCCTCTTTGACTCTTCCAGCAGCTTGAATAGAGAATTGGTCCCCAAAAACCACATAAACATATAAACATCCCGGACTGTCTCAGACTAGAAGACTAGAACAATGGCAGAAACAGAGTAGCATGATAATACTCATCAAATTTTTTTTGACCAGATCAGAATATTTTTTGTATTGGTTTTTAAAGTAACATACCCAAACCATGAAGAATGATCCAGATAATTGTAACTAAGTCACGTACTCAAGAAATTACATAGTAGTACTATCAACAACTTTCCGTTTCTGGAAAACCAACCTTATGTTCAAATTTCAATTTTTAAAGGGCACTATCAAAAGTGTTTGATAGTAGATATGTGCAATCATGTAACTTAAAAATGTTTCGCTCACAGCAGAACTGGCTGAATTGTGTGTGTGTGTATGACCTAGTAACTCTCAAAAATGATAAACTCCATTTGGACCCCATTCAGTCAGATTAGTCACAAAACATAAATCAGTCAAACAACCATATAAAAATATTAAGGTATAAAATTGATGTGTAAAACATGTACACTCATTTTCTGCATTTATTTAGGGTAAACTCATAGGAGGATGACTTCGACTGAACTTACTTCAGAGGCTGTTTGAGAACAAGTCTGACTTCAAGTCCCAAAGCATTTCATACATGTTAATAATTTGTTATATATTACACTATTAAGTAATCCTAAACAAACAAAGAAACAAACAAACAAACCCACCATCGGTGATGAGACGTGCAATGAACTTGTTCTCGCCAGCGCTTCCGACAGAAGCAAGTTTTGCACCATGCTGTTTACACCTCCCCTCTGCAGTAGACCAACTGACTTTTTCTTTGAATAACTTGTAGCAGTTGTTGTTATATTCGCTCCACCCACTCTGACATGGTCGGGCTGTAAAAAATGGCATTGCTGTAATCTAAAGAACCTGTCACACATTCACGAATTTGTCCTCCTGAACACTATCGAACCATCATGATGGTTAGGAGTGGAACGGAAGAAAAGTCGGTTGATGTTCGGCTAGGTCGGCTAGTGTTCAACTGGGCAGCCCAATTTTTGAAGATGTCTAGATCTAAACATTCGGGTGTCGACAGGAGGTTTGGTCATGGAGCAGGGCGTGTTTGACATTTACATTTGACTCAAATTTGACTTGATTTGACAGAAATGTAAGTATGGGTTAAATCTGGTTAAACTAGTCCTACATTTTAGGCAACCTTGGTGTTCGGGGGAGATTCTGAAAGTATGGCAGGGAATTACTCGTAACGTCAGGCAGTACGGAACAGATTTTCTGAGCATCCTTAAGTTAGAAAACCCTGCAACTGGCTTTACTTGGCTCAACATTTTTGTTCATCAAGGAAACACTTACCTTGTTGTTGACAGTTTGTTCCAGTCCATCCTTCCAGGCAGTTGCAATCGTATCCGCCATCTTTGTTAACACAGCTTCCATGCTGACATGGGTTTCTGATACACTCATTGATGTCTGTTGGGAAATGGTAATAAATGTTATGTTGGCAGGTAAGGCCTTAACGGAAAATGTAGTCTCCGGTAACAGTCCTGAAAAAAAAAGACTAAGTACATTAGACAACTTAAAGGTACAGTAGATAAATAAGGATTGTCTTCTTTTTAATTTAGGTTAAATCAATTAAATGGAGGGTAAAATTAATTTGCCTCAGGATCAGGGTTGTCTCCAGGAGCCTTCGTTATGCTTGTGGTGAAGGGGCTTACATTTCACATAATTTGCTCAAAAATGAAATGTCCTTGGCATAACGATTAAACGGTATTTTCTTATATGGTAAACCTAATTGACTTTACCTGTGGTTGACAAAAAAAAAAATACTGGGGACGCCGATGTTGTCCTAGTATGGAATCAAGTTTGTTGTAGCGTTAAGGCTAAAATTAATTGAGGCAAATTAACATAATCTTATAAGGCTGTTTTTGAGCAGCGGCAATAGGAAAATAATGCACATTTCCATTCAAGCAAGGATTATAATCAACAAAGATGACTTAATGATGAAAAAAATCACCTTGGTGACAGTTCTTTCCAGTCCAGCCAGGTGAGCAGGTGCAACGGTATCCACCAGGGTAGTTCTCACAGCGGCCATGTTGACAAGGGGATGTAGTACACTCATTGATGTCTGCGTTCAAATAAGAAAAAAAAATACTAGTACGTTCAGGTTTACCAAGATACAGTCCACCTACGTTAAGTCTGTTCCTGGCTAGCTTTAGCTTTTTAAACTATGGTTAGGCCATGTTGATTTGATTATATGGATGACATCCTCTGTGAGCCCAAAAATTTATGCGCGCGTGCGAATAAAAAAAAAGTTTTGCAAAAAAAAAAACAAGTTTTCATTTTGAAATGTACGCGGTCACGAGGGTTGAACCAATGGGACAGAATATGGTTTGGCGAATAATCTAGTCTTCAAGTTCATTTCTTTACAATTTTGTCTTTTTTCGTTGGATTTTGGCATTCTACGACATTGGTATAGTTTTTATTTATTATTTTTTGTAACTTACGGTAAATTTTTGCTCATTTTGCAACTGTTTTGTACGATTTACAGTATGGTTGAAAACTTTTTTTTGGGGGGGTGGGAACGGACGAAAATCCATGCGCGCGTGGATGTCATCCATATAATCAAATCAACATGGCCTTATGAGTAGGACGGAAGAAATGTCAGCTGATGTTCAGCTGTGTCGGGTTATACGTCAGCAAAATTTTTCAAAATGTCAAAACAGTCGCCTGTGGACGGGATGTCCTGAGCCATGGTTGGCTCACCAGGTGGTTGACTGGTGTTCGGGAGTAGGTAAGAAAATGACACAATTTCGATTCGATTCGTATAGAAAGGTAAAAATTGTGCTTGAATCTGGTTAGACTATTCCCTAGCTTCAGGTCAGGAATACGGTTTGACTAAATTTAAGCCCACCGAGAGCCTTCATAATACCTGACAGTCGTTCGTGGGTATGCGGCATCGACCCTACAACTGCCCCACCGGGATGTGAGAAGCACGCGTTTAACCTGTCGGACTCCACATGTGGGTCACTACAAGACATTGTCAGAGCATCTGCCCGGTACCTGCCGGAAACCGACCAATGAGGGAGCCCCCTGGACCTCTACAGGGCAGTGTAAAGGCAATTTTTACTTGGGACCACGACAGCTGGTGCCTGAGTCCAGAGCCCACATCCCCGACGGGCACCGGCGTAATTGGGACCAATTTAAAGTTAAGCCAGGCTTTATGACGCCGCCTGGTGTCTACACCAAAAGCATGCCACGCAGGCCCCGTTGGAAATGTGACTCCAGCTTAAGGCTGGTTCTCATTGAAATTTACAGCACACCGGTAACGGTCGCGGTGGTTACAACATCATCGATGTCACTTTGGCTTTTTCCTCCAACAAGATCTACAGTTTTTAGCTTCATCTTTTATGACCAAGGGAACACAAGGACACTCAGACATTTAGCTGGGCAACGACTGGGCCTTTTAAGCACCATCATTATTATTGGGAAGAAGCACAAACGCTGGATAGAACAGAGTTGAAAGCGGTGGTGGCCCGCATCATCGACAGATGTGAGTGGCGACGATGATGATGATAATTGACATTGGTGAAATTCTGGACGAAACAATTAAGGTTTATACATGTACCTGTACTGGGTGGTGGTATGCAGCTCTATGCCCCAGGGTCCGTACATGTAGCATCTCATTTTAAGTGTTGAGAGACTTAGTCTTTAGTGTACAAAGTGTAAGTTGAATGGCATATTCAAGAAGTGATTCTTCTGTCATACCTTTGTTGAAGTAATTCTTCTGTCATACATTTGTTCAAGTAACTCTTCTGACCTACCTTTGTTGTTGGGCTTTCCTTCCCTCAGCATTGCCTTGATGGTGTTGTGGATGTGAGACAGGGACGGTTCTTCTGCCTGTTCTTGGCACTTCTCTGTGCTCAGGTCCTTCCGTTCAAACACCACATGGTACCTGTGCCATAACAACAGCGTCATTAATATACTGATAATATGAAGATGATTTTTATTGATATTATAACATTGTTACAGTCTACAAATGTCCTGCTCTTTCAATGTTAACGTCATATGTTTCAAGTCTTGGTCTAGTGGATCAATAGTCATAGTGTGATATTACAATGTTACTTAACTTTAGGTGTGGTGTAACTACGTTAGACTTCCAAACACACATGGGGTGGGCTGAAATTTCTTTCAAGACTCCTGTGGTAGATGATGATAGAAAAGGTTGATATAGATACATTAAGTATTTCCCATGAACGATGTTGTATGCCTACCTGCATCCTTCATAACGGGTCTCTGCCAACGTCCAGTCTGCGGGAACAGTCGCGGCTGCCCCCGCCCCCTGGCCAGCCTCCGCGGCGACCACAGTCAGCAGGACAGGCAGTACGATCACGGTCAGCACACCCATGGCCACACTACCTTCTGTAGCTGGTGCTAAGGTTTTAGCTACACTGTACAGTATGCGGGCTACAGTGTCTTCTTACTGTTGTAACACACTGACTTCTCCCCACTCTTACATGAGTTGAGGAAGTCGTCTAGAAGTGGTCCTCAGGGCACAAGCTTGCCGGGCTTTTAAAGGAAGGCTTCATTAACCCCATCAGACAGCCATTGTTTTCGATTTTCCCACCAGAAATCCCATTTTCTTTCTAGCAGTAACCTTGTTTAATCCGTTGGTTCTTGTGACTTGAACTCATATACATGCGTAAGCCCTACTTTTTGCTACATTTCTTTAACTCAATTCTTATGATTAGTTTGCCCATGCCTGTTCAAGAGGGTAACTAGAGACCACCTACGTGTATATGAAAATGCCAATGAGATCTTAAGTGGTGATGTGGGTGTATACCTGATCTCAGTCATTGTACAGTCAGTCAAACCTGTACTGAAGCCA